AGTTAGATGTGCCACGTCTTCCCTTTGTCCGATCGAGCTCAGCTTTTACACAATTTTTTTTTCACCAAATGGAACAACTTTAGGGGGCGTCGTGAAAAAAATTCAAAAGTCAAAAAGAAGGTCCACCCTAATATACATATATATAAATTTTTTCACTATCTTCCGATTAAAAGTTAAAAGATCATAGATAGCAGACTGTAGACGTAATCTTCTTAATGATAAATGTTAATAGATCGCGTCTCTTCTGAATTTATTATACGTATTCAACAACTTAAAATAGATCTTTTCTGAATTTATTATACGTATTCAACAACTTAAAATAGGTCTTTTGGTTAAATCAAAATATGCACAATCTATTTACATCACTTAATGTAAATATTGTATTGTTGAATGCACGATCTATGATTTAACTTTTAAACAGGAGATAATAAGAAAAATGTATATATTTTATTTTCTTTTTTAAAGAGTTCTTTTAACTAAACAATTAACTTTACAAGCTGTCGCATTTTGGTATCACTTTATTCGTTTAATTTTGTAAAAACATTGGGAATATTGATCCAATATTGCGCCAATGAATTTGCCAATATTGTGTTACTAAGGTTTGCGTTTGAATGATAAAGTTTCTCGAATAAAGAGTAAACAGATTAAAGAGATTAAACAGAGAGCAACAGTTTTATTGTAAATTAAGATGTACATTTATTTTGTAACAATCTCGATTATGAGAAAGTTATTTGTTAGGTTGATTATTTGCAAACAAAGACAGAAGATACGTAGATACAAGATTAAAAGATAATACTGACGTCGTTTGAAATATCACTAACTCACATGCCTCCAATGTCTTAATTAATCTTCGAAACTTATTTATATTCTCAGTTATCGACTTTGTGTCTAACAGAGACGCCTACTGCACAAAGAAAATATAAAAACGGCAATTTCATGTGTTGTATAAAAAAATTTTTCGAGAGATGACTGTTATTAATGTTTCCTCAGACAATATCAAATAGAAATGCAAATTTCAGATAGTAGAAATAAAAAACATACAAATTATAAGATGAAATATCGCAGCAAGCTGAAATGCTACGATCTGATGGTAACATACGATCGCCGCAATGCAACGTTGTCTTCTTTCGTCCTCGCTTAACTAACTTAATAAGCTAATGATGTTCGCGGCTTGATATATCTAATAATGCTTCTGTTGAATCTACTTTAATTCGTGCCGAATACGGCGTTTGTTTGTCGCTCGTATATATGTTGTTGAGAAGCGTGAATCGCGATACGCGTCTGACTACGTCTAAGGCTGCGTTCGGTTTTGGTGCTTACAGCGCTTAAAAGCATCATGTCCTTGTTTAACATTTGATAAACAACAAGGACACAATAATGTTGCACAGTTTTCAAAAAAATGTTTTTATATTTATGTTAAAAACGGTCCACGTTCTTGTTAAAATTTTGTATTAAACCTTTAACATATTTGCTTGTTAAATTAACATAATGTGATTATGCTATTTAAATATTTTGTGTTAAATTCATATTCAATATTTTTCAATCAGTGTCAAAATAATACAATCTATAAGTAAGTGAATAAATAACATAAAAATAAAGTAGTTTTAAACTCTAAGATAAATGAATAAAAGATAAATAAACTTGTTAATTTTACTGCAAAATAATGTTTCCACAATTTATTTCCAAATTATATTAAAGTGTTACATTTTTCGTGTTAATTTTTACATAATGTTTGTATTACTTTTTAAAATATTTATCTTGTGTTAAATTAACACAAAAATTTGAGTGGACCGCCGTTTGGGACATATAAGATGTGTTAATTTAACAAATTTTTTTTAACTGTGTGCGAGCGCTGTAAGTGCCAAAACGAACGCAGCCTAAGTTTTTCCACTGCTTGCGCTATTTGAACAGTTGTTTTCTTCATTTCGCTGGCATGTCTGGGGAATGTGATATTCGGCGCCAGTAGGCCTCTAAGCATAATGGGGGATAGTCGAGGAATGTGTGAGGTACACATACCTGTATCGTCTTCGCGCTCCATTGTTGATTTTGCCTTTTGTTTAACCACTTGGCGCCTATTTCGAGCCACTTCCTGTCTCTCCTCTTTATCTCGATGCATCGCGAGGCACAAAGTGCGCATTAAGAATGATGTTATCAGATCTAATTCTCAAGGCGGTTTCGCGCGAAAGTCTTATTTATGCTTTATCAGCCGCTCTTGTTGCGCTGTTACGTGATACACATCATTCATAAACGTCATTCATTGTTCGTAATGGGGCAGATAACGGCGCGCAATGATAAATAATTATTCCGTGTACAGCCCAAGTTTTGATTCGCCTCGCGCGTGCTCTGCATACCTGAAGAATCTTCAACAACGCAATAAAGACCGCGCTCAAGTTGCCTCGCGCATAAATAAAACGCATACCTACACACAGAGGCGAGTGTTTATTTGCACGAGGAAGTTGCTTTTGCATACGATATAAAATATACGTATATATACGAGGTGTCGTGGCGATTCTGATTGTACATACCTCGTGCAAGCGCATAAATTCTGAACAACACGCAGACAAACAAGTCAGTTTTTCCATACCGAACGACGCAACGCATTATCCGTGTTTTCTCTCTTTTTTTTTTTAACTAATTACACGCATTAATAGCACGCGCGTCGCTATTGGATACCAATGAGGCGCGCTGCCTGATCATAAATCGCTGTCGCTCAGGTCGGAAAATTGTTTAGCTTGCACGTATAAATATCCACATGTTGTTTACATTGCGTTATATAAGCGTCCAAGTGCTCAATCGATACTATATATACGCATATTTACTCTTTCGTAGCAGAATACTAAATGTGCTAATCTCGTGAATAATAAGAGAAAAATTCTCTCCCCCTTCCTCCGAAACCCGAGAGATATTTTTCACAAAAAAAGAAAAAGACGAATGACACATCGTGTACACGTGAAGCGTTCGAAAGTATGCGTTAAACGAGAAAAAAAAACGTGCAATTTCAAGACGTTAATGTATTCATGGAACGTGTACGGTAATGTATTCATAGGAAACATGTAATGTTATGTACCGGAATTTTATCAGCTACTTTGTCAGGTATATCAGACGTTATTATTTGCTGATTCCTGCGGAGATCGAAAATAGCGCTTCATAACAATCTCCCAAGGTCCCCTCTTCCATTGACTTCAAGGTAAATTTCGCGATGGCAAGCCGCGTGGCGTAGAACACAGTTAGTTCCGCGGACGAATACGGCGTTATCGTCAGGTATCATAGTGTGTACACGCAACGGCGCGACGCGACGCGACGCGACGGTGCGCGCGGCCGTGGATTACTTATCAATGGGCCGCGTGTTTGCCCGCCGCGCGGTCGAAGTCAAACGCATCAATGCCGCCGCGTATAAGGCGCCGTGTACCGTGTCGCGATTTCAGTTGCAGTCGAACAGCCGGCCGAAGGAATTTCACGTGGCCGCGCGACTTGGCGAGAGAGGAGAGCGATCTACGTGCTTATACGTGGGAGGACGCACGTTGCTGCATTTGATTGCCCCTGCTTCTCTCCCCCGACGCGTGTTTGTCGCTGCTTATTATTGGTATGTGCAAGCAAGACACGCGATCGCCATTATACGCGTGTTTGAGTAATTTCGCGTATTGGACTTCCTGCCCTGTGAGGCCGCCCTCCCTCTCCCCCGCCGCGTTACGTAAGTATCGCTAC